TAACCACAAATTTTCTTTTTCTCTTTTTCTCCCCCTTGCATATTAGACACACACACACACAAACTTTGTCACCACCTTCCAGGGTTATCTGCATTAATTAGGACCTGGCCTGTTCATGTCAGGGTTAGGGCTAGTAAATAACTGGCCAATAAGCACTCAGTAGTGTCCAGTCCTGTTTGAGGGACAACTAGGGCTCTAACCCACTGAGACCCAGAGAGAGGTTTTAGTCTGTCAGAGCCCAGCTGTCACTTAACTATGACATAATAAATGTCCTTTTTATACTTTTGATTTACTCTGGTTTGTTCTCAGGTTTCCAGCTAAAGAACGGGGCTAACGGTCTGTTGTGGGTTTAGTGGTTTCCACCACTGGTCTCTGTGTTTCCTGCTCTTCTCCGTTGGTTTCAGTTTCTGGCTTTTCCCGCTTTAATCTGCTGCGTTTCTCCAGTCTGGTCATTAGCTCCCCTCTCCTCTCACCGGGCTCTGGTCCTCGGTTCTGCTCACTAATTGCTTCTCTCTGAATATCAGCCGCCTGCTTTTCCTGCCTGTCCCCAGTCTGTCTCCACCGTTTTCACCATTAGGCTCCTCCAGTCTGATTTACTCATTCTGCTCTTTGTCTAGTCTTGCCTTTCTTTTTGATTTGTTCATTTTTTTTTGGCGAACCGTCTTGTTCTTCCTGTTATCTTTTGTTTAGATCAAACTAAAAAAATGGCCGCTCTTTTCCTGCTTGGATCAGTAAAAAATGAATCTATGTGGGATTTGTTGCTGTGAACAGGTCAGAACGTGAGGTGTGAAACCCCCCCCCCCCCCCCTCAGCAGAGTGGTGCAGACCACACATGCACATGCTCATTTCATCTCCCTCTCATTGCCCCCCCCTTCTGTGCGGCTTCTGTTTGCACCTCCAGCATCTGAGCCAAATCATTGGTGGGGCACAAATCGAGTGTCTCCGATTACAAATCCGGACATATCAGCTTTGTTAAAGCAGTTTCCGACCATAAAAAGAAACAAAATTCCTCCATTTTTTTACTATTAAACCATTTTTGTGCACTAATACCACATTTTTTATATTCTTAATGCAATAATTTGAGCAGAAGTACTCCAATATTTATATGCGGAAACATTTTTTATGTTGTTTTTTTATTGAAAACTGCTGAAAGTTTTTTATTCATGTGTATTTTAAGAATTTATACATGTAAACCTAAGAGTAGAAGTGTCCTCTTTTAACAATAGAGAAAATACCACAGAGTCACAGTTCAGAACAGCATTTAAACAGCCCAGGCCCACACTTTTCTGCATAAATACATGTTTGCATACACTAACTCGCCCGCCGTGCCTCCCTCCCGTGGGTTCTCATTACGGGGGACGTTTGATCCACACGTTAGAGCCTTTTGGACCTGAAGCATCTCTCCCTGTGCAGATCCCTCCTCACAGACTCCTCCAGCTCGGTGGAGGCTGCACGCTAGCTGCATTTAAACATCCCGGCTGTGGATATTTCTAAAAGCTCTAAAACCTCCTTTCTCTCGCCGTATAGATCCGTTTCCTCCTGCAGCTGCGGGAGAAAAACCATCAGCAGCGTCTCAGTGCCTCAAGAGCAATTAAAGCCCTATAATTAGTCTACTTTTAAAGAGGTCGATTTAGTTTAAACACAAAACAGGAACGTTTAGCTGCCAAGGCAAATAACTCAGGGCCATTGTAGTCATTCAACCTGGAAAACTAAATGACATTTCGGATGTGTACAGATAACTAACTGGGTTATTAATTCATTATCTGATGTGCCAGAAAATCAGACTGAGTGTGTTGTGATGTGGAGGAATTCATGCATAGTGAAAAATAAAGTGAGCATTAAAGCTGGTGACGTGATAGATTAGTCTGACGGGTTTTCCTCTGACAAACACGCCACTAAAGGCCTCGTCAGACATCAAACTCATCAGATTAAAGGTTTCATTAGTCCGCTTTAGCCACAGCATTAAGTCATTAGACTCTGGTTGTATTTTGGCTAAATACCTTTTCTTAAAAAATTAAACATTTTCCTAAGATTCTGACTCGTTCAGCTTGGTTTAAAAACGTACGCAAACCGATATAAGAAAATTGACTTCAGTGTATTACGAACGTCAAACTTACAAATAATTGCCAGAATAAACCAAAACATTAACTTTACGGTAAAAAAAAAATGTTGCTCCTCATCCGGCTCCATTAGCTCAGGTTGCTTAAACTCAAGTCATTAAAGGAGCTTCATTAACTGATAAACTGATATCAGTTAATGAATAAACTGATAAACCAAACATATAAAATAATACAAAATAAAACCAAATGCCTCTTAATAGAATAAACAGTATACATCCCTCATAACAAATAATTCCAATCGGCAGTCAATAAACACAATTTCTATCTGGCTCTAACACTGGTTGTGTTAATGGATGTAACAGACATAAAAAAAAGAGACATTTAACATTTGTGTAAGGCCAGATATAATGGCGTGGTTTTATAAAATACCCGAAAAATCACATCGGTTAGAAAATGTGGTGTTATATATTTCTTACTTATGAGGCTTTTATGAGAAAAGCAAAGGTTTATCAACACTTTTAACAAGTGAAAAAATAAAAAAGCTTAACCCAGATTCAGAGTCTCCAGAGCTGCTTGTCTCTGTCTGTGTGAAATGACAGAAACATCTGAAACTCAGCCCTTTGTTTCCCCTCTTTCCTCCCAGCACCAGCACCCAGCCGGGGGGGGGGGGGGGGCAGGGCTGTAGATTGAGCTCCGGATAACACCTCCCCTTATTCCCAGTGAGGTACTGGAGCTCTTCCCAGTTTACACAGGGGGAGAGTCCATCACCAGTCCATCACACAGTGACACAGAGACAAGCAACCACACTCACTCCACTTCACTCCGCCGGTCAATTCAGTCCTCGGTTAACCTGACATGCATGTTTTTTAATAGTGGGAGGAAGCCTGAGCACCCAGAGAGAACCCATGCAAACACAGAGAACATGGTGTCACAAGCTAGTTTTTTTTTCCAATTCCAAACAACAATTTACATGATTTCCCCTTTAAGTCTTCCCTCAAGTCTAACGCACTGTCAATATGGATTGGCGAATAGAGAAAAGTACCACAGTGAATATAGCAATACACCCCCCACTTTATCATTTTAGCTGATACCACAATTTGCTAATCCTCTGTCCATAGCTCAAACAGCACACCTGTCCCATTACTTATGGGACCAACCTCATATACAATGTTTATTTAATGTAAAAAAAACAAAAAAACATGCTATATTTGCCCTTAAAATAGGTTTATTTTACTCAGTACACTTAAGGAACACATGCTTTAGCAATAGCATTTTAAGCTAATTCTGCTAGTAAGTTAGCATGTTAGCTCAATGTGTCCCTTTTCTTTTTTGTGGAGACCTCTGCCGTGTTTAGGGCTTGATTTCCTTTTGGGTTTAGATAATAACTATTTTCAGCAATCTCAACAATCCAGTGTTTCTGAAGATAATCTGGACCAGGAGACCGGGACACAAGTTCTTCCCGTGTCTTTACTTTGCTACATGATATGGTCCATCCTTAATTTAGAGCAGGTGCACTGACAGCGCCACCTGTCTCGGTCTGTTTTCTGTGGGTTGGTTAATTAGAGGACAACTAAACAAAGAGAACGCTTGTCTCTTATAATAAAAGCTGCTTTAAACTCCCTTTACTGAAAGCAATCATCCTGGAGGCTCAAACACTGCTTAGCAATTAGTGCATGTATGTGGACGCACGCAAATAGATTTTTTTAAATTTACAAATGTGCTTGTTAATTTTGTTTTCTTTGTCTTTAGAATGAGATTTTGTCAGGTTCTCATGACCACATCGTAATGTGATTTTTAAGAAAAATAATAGATACGTGTGCCAAAGGATAAAGAAAAGAAAACAACATATTTGGAGATATTTGTCTTCTTCAGCCACCAAAGCAGCTTCATTAGATTTTAATTTAGCCTTTGGCTATTTGACCAGAGCCAGCCGAGCCTGTCTGGAGATAGAAATATCCACACTTATTTCTTCAAAGCTCATTGGATGACAGGGAATTTCTTTAACTTGTTCCTCTTTGCCATCTTTATTTTGCCTCCAGTTGTCATATTTATTTATAAGCCATCGTATGGTTCTTTAGCCTATCAGTCTCATTGTCACTGATTATGTGCCTTTGCTGTTTGAGGAACTTCCCAAAAATAAAATTTAGGCGCTCAGCCGGAATAAATAAATAACCCGGTGTGCGTTTCTTTCTTTGATCATGAGCGTGGATACTGTTCCTCTCTGGTTGTTTCTGATCCGTCTGGACAGAGATGAGCATCGGTGCATTAAACTGGGAAATGGCGTTTTAGACGGGAAGGCAGGTGGAAATAGGATTAGAAGTGTTATGATCAACCGAGCGACAAAATTGACAATAAACAATCATCAGACCTCTGGAGGATCTGGGATCCGAGGAGAGAGATTCATGAGAGGAGGCGGGCTCCGACCAATCAGAGCGGAATTCAGATTCATTTAATCACTTCCATCCCAGCCATCGGCCCCCTGTGCTCGGCCTTATTGTGACTACATCTAAAGGGATTTTGAATAGAACATTTCAGGCTGTCCTGAGACATTAAAATGCTCCCTGTAAAACAGGGTTCGAAATCTGTGGGAATCTGGTGGTAGCGAGCAGATTAATTTCAAACGAAAAAATACGTTTTTTTGTCGATTCCCTGTTTATTTTGTATGTATTTGATATAAAAATGTAATTTGTCTACCCGTCCTGCCACAAAAGGGACCCAAACTGGTCCAAAACGGACCTGAGCTAACCCAAAACGGACCTAAACTGGTCCAAAATTAACCCAAACTGGTCCAAAACGGACCAAAACTGGTCTTAAACTGACCTGAACTAACCCAAATGGGGCCTAAACTGGTCCAAAATGGACCCAAACCAACCCAATCCAGCCCCAAAACCACCCCTCCCCGTTCCTACCCTGCTGTAAAACCCGGCCTCTGTGTTTGTCCTCGGGTTCCTGCAGACACAATGCTGCTCGGGGCGAGCGTGCTGATTGGCCTGCTGAGCGGCGCCGGGGCCTTGGCCCGGCTGCGGGACAGCGTGGAGCTGCGCTCCGCCTTCTCCGTGGCGCGCACCAGCAGCATGGAGGGCGGCCCCAAGATGACGGTGACCTTCGACGCCGTCTACGTCAACATCGGGGGGGACTTCGACACCAAGGCCGGCCTGTTCCGCTGCCGCATCCCCGGGGCCTACTACTTCTCCTTCACCGTGGGGAAGTTCCCCCACAAGGACCTGTCCGTCATGCTGATGAAGAACAGGAACGAGGTGCAGGCCATCGTCTACGAGGAGAACGCTGGAGAAGAGAGGAAGGTATGTGTCATACTCACAGTGTTCTGCACAGCGTTTGGGATCTCCTGTTTTTGATTGGCTGCTTTCAGGGGGGTGCTACAAACAAGCTAATAGAGTAAAGACATTTGGACAGCCAGAGGGTTCTGGGTTGGAGTCCCGGGGGAACCAGGACCAGAGGGTTGTGGGTTGGAGTCCCGGGGGAACCAGGACCAGAGGGTTCTGGGTTGGAGTCCCCCGGGGGAACCAGGACCAGAGGGTTCTGGGTTGGAGTCCCGCGGGAACCAGGACCAGAGGGTTCTGGGTTGGAGTCCCGGGGGAACCAGGACCAGAGGGTTCTGGGTTGGAGTCCCGGGGGAACCAGGACCTTTCTGGGTGGTTCTGCATGTTCTCCTGTGTCTGTGGGTTCTCTCCGGGTTCTCCGGCTTCCTCCCACCCTCCAAAAACCTGCATGTTAGGTTGTTGGACTCCAAACTGCCCTTAGTGTGAGTGTGTGTGGTTGTTGGTCCTTGTGTGTCTCTGTGTGTCCCTGTGATGGACTGGGGACCATCCAGGGTGACCCCACCTCTCCCCATTGGCTACTGGGATAGGCTCCAGTCCCCCCCGACCCCATTAGGGGATAAGGGGACACCATAATGGAAGGATAGATGGACTTCTTCTTAGATCCAAGAAGTTATCTTGGCTTAAACTCTTGGGATTACTGCCGGTTTCCAAAGTAAACCGATGCTATTCTGCATGACTCATGATGTCCACAAATGACCTTAACAGCTTATTCCAGCATCATCAAGTAGATCTGAGCAACCCTTTTGCACTGGGTGTCTCTTAATTACCACGAACAACGCATTCGGATTTATCTTCATCCAGCACCACCCACACCCTTCAGGCTTCCACAGAGGCATTAATCCCTGTCTGAAAATAGCCCTGAACAGATGCAAGATTCCCTTAATAATGTTTTCCAATAACTACAGTAGCCAGGGCATTATTCTAAAAAAAATCTATCTCTAAAGATTCATGTCCCTGGCAGGAGCCTCTGAGGCTGGAAGCAGCGATCTGTGCTACAGAGCTGACAGGTTCTGAGAAACCAGAGGCCTGTTTTTGTCAGGGGAACAAGAAATGGACACGCTCGTGTCAATCTGTAGCCCGGAAAAAGACCCTGGAAAGCGGAAAATGTTGAAAACTCAGCCGGTTTTTCCGCAGCCCCCCTCCGTCTGGGGCGCACGTCCACCCGTCAGAATATTTTCTGCTGGCAAAGCAAAGCAAAGCAAAGAGGAGCTTTTCCCCGTCTGTTCCACTTCCAGCCTCATGCCTCACGACAACACAGACCAGTTGGTCTAGGCAGCAACTCTGAATGCCTCAAAAAGCCATTTTCTGAGCCGCTTATTTCCCAAATGGGGTTGTGAGGGGACTGGAGCCTATCCCAGTATTCATAGGGCAAAATTAATTAGTTTAAAGAAATCCATCCTCCTATAGTCTACACCCCATGGATTATTAGTACGGAGCCTATCCCCATGGGCAAGAGGTGGGGAACTCCTTGGTCAGTTACAGAGTGCAACCACCTAACGTGCATGTTTTTGGACGGTGGGAGGTATCCCGAGTAGCCAGGGGGACACACAGGCACAGGAAGGCCCCTGGTCCCCCCCAGGAATTGAACCAGTACCCTTCTAACTGTGAGGGAACAGTAATAGCCACCACACTCATTTAAAAAAACAAAAACAGCTGTATCCAAACGTGAAATTGGACCAAAACAGGATTAAAGAACAAGAAAGAGTAAAAACAGAGGCGTAGAATGAATCTAAACCAAACTGAAATGCAGTTGGGGGGTGCTTGGCGTCTAAATGGAGGACGAATTACCACCGCTTCCAGCTTTTCGAAGGGGTTAAACTGAGCCGGTCTCTCTCCAGTCACGATTATCAGGTTGTTTTCTGTTCGTATTCACTCCTTCTGGCCACTTTGCTGTTCTAGAGATGGAGCTTGTTTTGAAGAATGAAGATGACGAATCGGTGGAGACGGTGTGTGAGGCGCTGAATAAGCTGTTAGCCTTCTGCCGTCACTCCGGTGTCTGAATCATCAGAAACAAAGAGAGGCTTTAGACCCGAGTGTCCTGCAGGCTGTAGAGGTCTACCCGCCTCACCGTATCCAGTCCAGATTAGCTGGACCTTTTCAAAAGACTCATTGGTCTAAATCAGGGGGTAGAAGCAGGAAAACATCTTCAACCTCAAAGGCAGAAGCCTCCGAGGTCACAGTTTGGACAAGTGTGCACCAAAGTGGTGCTGGATAGAGTGTGTGATAGGTGTCCAGACCCATCTTGATACAACAAAAAACAGGAAAGGACACACAAGATGCAAGTAATATCATTTATTGCATAAAAACATAAGTAAGTTAGATACCAAAGAGTGAACGACGGGGCTGAAGAGGAGACAAAGATGGCTGGGGCCTGGGCCCTCTATGGCCTAGACACTCTGGACCTGGGCCTTTTATAGACAGGGTGCTCTGGGTCTGGACATGGGCCTTTTACAGACAGGGTGCTCTGGGTCTGGACCTGGGTCTTCTACACGTAGGGGGTACTAGGTCTGGACCTGGGCCTTTTATAGGCAGGGTGCACTGGGTCTGGACCTGGGTTTAGGCCTTTCGTAGCCCGAATGCTCAAGGCCCAGTTACCTTGGACTATAACGAACCATCAACTTAGGCTCTGTCTATGCACTAAGAATTAGAAGAATGTGTTCTTAGTCCCCCATGACCACAACATGCTATAGGGCTCTTTGCTAATCAGCCTCAGGACTTATTCTGCTGAATACGGAGCTGTGGGAGGTTTGTGATGTGAGCCATCCGGCCTCCTGCCCTGAGGGCGTGCTACTAAACTGCGCTGGTGTCCTCAGGTGCAGAGCCAGAGCGTGATGCTGCAGCTGGACTTCGGCGACAGCGTGTGGCTGCGGCTGCACGGGGATCCGCGCTACGCCCTCTACAGCAACACGGGCCACTACACCACCTTCAACGGCTACCTGGTCTACCCGGACACCTACGGCTACCAGACCCACCGCCACCACCCCCAGCAGCACCCGGCCTACAGCCCCCAGCAGCCCCAGCGCGACGCCACCCGCCCCCCCAACGCCCAGGAGCTGACCAAGCCCGGGGCCATGGCCGGCCAGGAGGAGGAGGAGGAGGAGGAGGAGGAGGAGGAGGACCAGAGGTCGGCCTTCTCGGTGGGGCGCACCCAGAGCATCCTGGGGGTCAACCAGGCCGGACTGCCCCAGCACCAGCCGGTGAGCTTCGACACGGCTTTCGTCAACATCGGGGAGGACTTCAACGTGACGGGGGGCGTGTTCAGCTGCCGCGTGCCCGGGGCCTACTACTTCTCCTTCAACGTGGGCAAGCTGCCCCAGAAGACGCTGTCGGTGAAGCTGATGAAGAACCACCTGGAGGTGCAGGCCATGATCTACGACGACAGCCAGGGCGAGAAGGCGCTGCAGAGCCAGAGCCTGATGCTGGCGCTGAGGCCCGGGGACACCGTCTGGCTCTACTCGCACCAGCGCGACGGCTTCGGGGCCTACAGCAACCACGCCAAGTACATCACCTTCACGGGCTTCCTGGTTTACCCCGATATGGTCACCGACCAGCGGCCCTAACCTCAGCGGGGGGGCCACGGACAGAGCGGAGGGAGGGATTCGTGTCGCCGAGGGCTCTCTGGGTAGTCTCTGAGTGGTCTCTGAGCGGTCTCTGAGTTCCCGGGGATGAATGTTGCTTCTTTTGGCTCTTACCTCTTCATTCGAGCTCCAACCCAAAACCTCCAGGAATTCAGACTAAGTGCAACACATTAGAGAACAGCTCTGTCAACTTTTTCTGCCAATAGCTCTCCAGGACAAGACTCGCTCACCCTGAAATGTGAATAGTTCCCTCTGACAATGAAAACGTAGAATACAGGGACTAATGGCTCTTAAATACTAGTAAAAATCTTCAGCCTGGAAATGTTTTAAGGAGCTTCATGTGTGCAGAACTGGTCTCCATGATGCAGCTTAAGGTGATTAAAACTACAGTACTGTGCAAATGTTCCTCGGTTCCTCACGTAACGCCAGGACATGGGTCAGATTTAACAAATCATGTGCGAAAATAAATAGAAATGTAAGACTAAATTTGCACCTTTCCCCTCCACTCCGGACCCTCTCCAGTAGGAGCCTCCAGGAAAAGCTCTCCAGCTTCCTGAAGGACGTCCCAGAGCTCTTCTCTGGATGTTTAGCTGCCTTTGGCTCCGTTCTCTGTCAGATGATCCCACTCTTCTTCATCATGTGGAGCTCCGGCTCTGGAGGATCCATCCCTCCATCAGAGCTGCTGGGGTTCAGTCCACTTCTGGTTCCTGCTTTCATCCAGTTTCTGACCCACAGTGGGAGCTCTGGAACTCTTCTTTTAGCTCTATTTTGGTCATTTTGCCTCATTTTGCTTTGTTCTGGCATTTTTAGCTCTATTTTTGCTTTTTTAGCTGTATTTTTCTGGTTATTTTAAGCCTTGTTTTTTTTTACTTTTGTGATGAATATTACAAATTTTGCCTCGGTTTAGCTTTTTTTGTTGTATTTATGGTAATTTTTAGCCTTGTTATCCCTTTTTTTGGTGCATTAAAACACCCAAAAATGGTGATGTGAATCCTCAGAAATCCTGTTTCCTGTGTTTCAAACCGCGTCTTCTTGGCTAATTTTCACACATCACCAAGAGAAACAGGAACAAATGCTGTGTATTTGTAATGGGCTGCTGGTAACGAAGAGCTTAAAGATCCCATTTAAACGGCCGCTCAGGAGACACAACCCTGGCTCATCCCTTGAGCTGTGTTCCTCTGCATGTCTGAATGACACGCAGGTCCATATTAAGTTTCTTAAAACGGAAAACAAAACTGCTCAGGAACAAGAACTGGACTTCAAACCTTTGACCCAGAGGAGGCCTGGAGAGCTTTGCTGAAGATGACTCCTTATGAAAGATAACGACAACATCTGACTGCCTGAAAGCAAACGATAAAGAAGTTTGGGCTGAATGGGGATGTTTGCACAGTATTGTAGACTATTAATAGCACAATCATGCACACTTTACTTTAAATTCCTCCCAGAATACAAACAATCAAATATATTCCCACAAGTGTTCATTTAAATCTTAAAACTACATTAGAGTATTGTCATTTTTTACATAATTTGCATGAAAAATATTAGGGTAGAGGCCTTTTTTTTGTTTGTTTGTGTTATTATCGGTTTTCGGTTTAAAATTAAGTGCTGCATCACAGTTTAAATTTCCAAATCTTAGAGCCCCTTGGCATCTTGTTGTGAGGGGGAATTGGGTGGTCCCTTCATCGTAAAGCTCCAAGGGCTGGGAAATAAACTATCTTTAATCATAAAATGACAGATCACTGGCCCTAAATCCTAACAAAAAAGCACAAAAAAGGCCACCGGAGCCCTGCACAGCAGCAGGTTTCACTCTGAGCGAACAGAAGGAGAAGATGTAGCAGACCTGATGGACAGCGAATCCTCACAGAGAGTCAGACCACAGCTCCACCTCAAAACAAGAGGAGAACCATACCATGCAAACCACGCCACACGCTCCAGATCCCTGTAGGAAAAGCATCCAGATGCAAACCTTTATAAACCTAGAGTCTGACCATTCCCCCTCCCTTTAGGCTGGAGTAGGAAGTAGTGACGGACTATTGATGTAGACATTTAGTGGAGCTTGACTTGACATCAGGGTGCATGTAGATAATCTCAGAAACGTCATTTTTCCGTGGAACATTCCTTTAAGAGCTGTCGTTATCTTCGTCCAAGACTTGCTTGTGAGTAAAAAAGACCCTTTGTCTTTAGAGGCATGTGAAACTACTGTATATGAACTGTGTGTTTCGTGTCCAAAGTGGGTTGGTTTCTGGTGGAGTTTCTTGACCACCTGCCCCCCCCCCGGGCCCGCGGGGGTCTGGCTGTAATTTGATTTCTAATTGTAGCAGCGTTTAATTGGCGTCTCCGAGCGGCCACCGCTGAGGGGGAGATTGAATTGCCTCTCCCGGGCCGCTGTAATATGCATGTCCTCTTAATTTCACACCGCCGGGGGGGGGGAAAGATGATACTCTCTAAATTGCCGTGAACCTTGACTTTCATGGAATAACCTTCCCCCAGTGGAGGCGCCACGCTTCACTTTGCATTTTTTATTTGGAGCTGTGGGAGACGGGGCTCCATCAGAAATGAGCCTCAGCTCGGGACCTCAGGACCGGGGGGGGGGTTTGGATGGGAGGGGGTCGCTCTCTAAGGATTGCCACGAAAGAGAAGAGCTTCAGCTGTGGAGCCATTGTGAGGTCCACACTGTCAGAGACCTGTCTTTATCTATATCTATGTAGATTATCTATATCGATCAATAATTTTAGCCGTCTCACAACCAAATGAACAGATTTCTGATCAGTTTCACCATAAAAATGGAGAATCAAAAGCAGGAAGATGGCACAGATTTACACCTAAATCTGCTTTAAATTGAGCAAAATGTGTCTCTTTTGATTGATTGATTGATTGATTGATTGATTGATTGATTGATTGATTGATTGATTGATTGATTGATGAATACTTTATTGATCTCACAAGGAGAAATTAACTCAAATTAATTTAACTTAATTAACTTCTTTTGCTGTAGAGACTATAAAAACTAGAATACTTTATAGCAGAGAAACACTGAAATTAACATTTTCTTGACGTATTTCGCATAGAAGAAGAAGAATTGACCAAAATGTCTAAAAAGCTAAACAAAACACCAAAGATGACAGAATCTGAAGGCGGTTTGCTCTGGGAGGGGTGGAAGGCCTCGGCCTTTAATGCTAGAAATGCCCCCCAGTTCCCCCTCTGTCCACTTCCTGGACCTCGTTCTGACCCCCCCGGCTGCAGCGGCTCCTGAAAACGCCCCTCTGTGATGCATGTGGGTGAAAACGGGGAGAAAGCAGCCCCCCCCAGACGTTACCTGTGCTATCAGTGGAGTTTCTATACAGTGCTCAGAAATGTGTTCGACGTGTTTTGCTCTGTGCTTTTTTCTTCTTTTTTTGATTGTTCTGAAGGGAGGTTGTGTATTAAAACTGTACGCGGGTCAATTATTTGTACAAAAAATTTAAAAAAGGTACCATTTGTGGTCCCATAAGTTCAAATCGGCCATTTGGGGGAACAAAAGGCCGTTAGATGTTTTGACCCTGGTGGTGTTTTCTGTAGTCTGGAACCTGAAATACGTCTTATTTCTAACTGTAAAATGAATGCTTCGATGAAAACATTTGACCAAATAAAACAGGAAAAAAACCAAAGCTGTTGTTGCATCTGTACCACAAGCTGCTCTGAACAGAGATATTTAGCAGGACAGCGCCACCTGCTGGAGGCAGAAACTCACCCTCTAAATCACTCTGTCAGAAGTAAATGAACCCGAAAGCTCCAACCAGCCCCCTTAAACGCACCAGGGAAGACGAGTGTCTTTCATTTAATGAATAAATGCTTTCAGTTTAGAGCGACTCCTCCCAGTGAACAACATTTATGTCGGTTTCTCTCATCTTTCAGAGAGTTTTTGTCTCCATCTCCTGTATTCTGATGAAAGTCTGTTATACAGAGCGCAGCCCAAACTGAGACGTGGTCAGTCTGAGGAGGAAGGACAGATCCTGAATTAGCCTTCATTCTGCACCCACAGCTGCCCAGAAACACGAGATCATAATGACCATAAGCACACCTGCCGGAGGCTGTAGTCACATACACGAAGAATCATCCCATTTGTTTGGTCATATGGAAGAAAAAAAGTCTGTAAAAGTCCAACTGGAACTCACTTTCCTGTCATATTTACCCTGATTGGTCACATTTAGTTTTTTTCCCCCCCAAATTAGTTTATCTGTTTTTTCTTCAAGTAACAGTAACAATACAAATGTAAAAAGTAAAGCCAAAACACACACACTCACACACACAAAAAGAAAATAGATTAACAAGAAGTGAGTAAATGAAAGGTACAAACAAACTATGGTACAGGTGGGAGAAAGTGTGGGATTTTCTTACCTCAGTTTCTATTCAAATCACAGAATTCTGTTAAGGTTCTGTTCAGGATAAAAGCCAGTGAGTGTCAGATCTGTGCCAAAAGAAACTGAGGGCCTGTAACAAATTCCTAAAAGGATGACCATATATCCTCAAACACATCATGTTCTCCTTTCAGTGAATAAGTGATTTCTTTTCCATTGGCAAAACTTGGACAGTGTTCTCAAGCCAGCATTTCTCACTCCGGCGATTGCTCCCGTTTTTTTAAATTATTATTATCATTATAATTATTTTTATCGTTGATACTTTATGCACCTTTTCCTCTTTGTTTGCACCTTCTTTAATCACTAAACCGACCAGTGATTTTCTCCACTGTGAGATCAATAAAGCTTATCTTATTTTATCTCAAAACTGCAAACTCACAGGATGGAATGCCGCCACAGCTGGATTCCTGCAGCTGTCTGCACATCTGTCAGAGACTCTCCGGCTCAAATCTGTCCTCAGAAAACCTGGAGGTTTCAATCCCACTGAATAAACTCGTTTTTTTGGTCATCAGATACACAAAAAGAACACAATAAAAACATTAATGACTGTTTTATTAGCACTTTTATGTACAGAAATATGTCAGGGAGGAGGTCTGGGATCGGGAGTCCCAGCGGTGGGGGGGGGGGGCATCACTTCTTCTCTGGAGGGGCGTCTCCGGCCTCCAGCTTGGGGGGGGCCTCCTTGGGCTCCCGGTAGGCGGGGAAAACCTCCCAGGGCGTGTTGAGGTCGAACTTCCGGAACTCCTGCGACAGCTCCACGGGCTCGGCCACCACGCGCTTCAGCTCGTCGTCATAGCGCACCTGGGGGGGGGGCGGATCAGTTAGAGCCATGAGTCAAAACCCCCCCCACCCCAACCCCCCCGGACAGGCCAGGCACGGAAAACACAACAAAGCAGTGAACAGCAGAAGTTTTAGAGACTCCTGAAAACAGACTGCCGCATTTCAAACTGAAGAGGTATGAAGTCTGTTTAAAGGGAAATCTAAACCAAACTTTATTCATAAAGCAGCAGCGCAAAGGGCTTTATTTGATCAAATAAAATAACCCCCATCTTACTAAGAATAAATCTGTGTGTAAACAGATATCTGACCTGACACTGCAGTGAAAAATAGAAAGCCAATTAAAGCTAACATAAAAGGGCATAAACAAATTATTATTAAATAAATCAATTATATGTATACTATTAAATGAATAAATAATCAAATCTACTTCAATTCAGATATAAGCTGAACAAAACAACTGGATCCTCTTTCAGAGACCCTGAGGTTCTGAGTCCACAGTCCACAGAGGGTTGGGGTTAGAGTCAGATTTGGGGTTAGGGTTGGAGAATAGGGTTGGAGTTGGGGTTAGGGTGAAGGATAGGGTTAGACTTAGGGTCGGGGTTATGGCCTGAGTCGGGGTGGAGATAGGGTTAGGGTCGGGGTTAGGGTTTGGGTTCAGTATTTGGAATAGGGTCTGGGTCAGGCTCAGGTTGGGTCAGAGTTAGGGTTAGACTTAAGGTTTGGGTTAGGGGAGTTGGGGTTGGGGTCAGAGTTAGGGTTAGGGTCTGGGTCAGGGTTAGGGTCTGGGTCAGGGTCTGGGCAGAACCCACCTCCACGTATCCGGACAGGGGGAAGTCCTTCCTGAAGGGGTGACCCTCAAAGCCGTAGTCGGTGAGGATGCGCCTCAGGTCCGGGTGGTTGGCGAAGAACACGCCGTACATGTCCCACACCTGGAGACCAGCACAGTCCTCATCAGGCTCCGGGGGCCGGGGGGGGGGGGGCAGCCCCCGGGGCCGCCGGCGGGGCGCCACTCACCTCCCGCTCGTACCAGTTGGCGGCCATGTGCACGGGCACGGCCGAGTCCACCGGGGTCAGCTCGTCCGTGTAGGTCTTCACGCGGATGCGCGAGTTGAAGCGCAGCGACAGCAGGTTGTACACGATCTGAGGGCCGGAGAGGGAGAGTCGGCCCCCGAACAAACGCCCGGGGGGGCCCCGAAACACCCGGGGGGGCCCCCAGAACGCCCAGGCCCAGAGGGCCCCCGGTCTATGTTTTAGGCCTGAGGAAGACTTCAGGACTAGCTGAGCACAGGTCAGATTTAAGGGAGACTTTGGATGTGTCCAGCTCCTTCTGGGGGGTCCTGAGGCATTCTATTGTCGGGTGGAGTCCGAAGAAAGTTCTAGGTCTGGTCTGGGACCTCCAGTCTGATGGAGGAGCCTTGACCGCTCCAAAAGTCAAAGACCAGGAGCTAACTGACTAGAAAATAACTGACCAGGAGCTAACTGACCAGGTGCCAAAACCCAGTACACTTAACTATTTTTTTTTTCTTTAAGAAGCAGCTGCTGTTCTCCATTTCCCCTCCAGATGGTGCAGCTCCTCACCTTTACTGCAGTTTTAAATGGAATCTAAGCTGTTAAAGGTAGTTTTCTTCTGGCTACATAAGCCCATTAAAACCTTTTTAAGTTAACAGACATTTTTTCCTAAAATCACCCAACTTAGAAACATCACGTCTAAAGTCAGAATTAAAATCGCCTGAAAAACTACAGGAAAAGGAGGTTGTGTGCAAGTATCCTTAAACTGTAAAGGTCTTATAAGTGGATCCTGGGAAACCAAAAAATCAATACAATCACAAGTTGGGCAGCTAGCAGCTGCTAACTAGCAGCGACTTGCAAATTCATAGTAGGCTAGTCCCGATCCGATATCTGGATCAGATCGGCTGCCAATATTTGCAAAAAAACTGCGTATTGGCCGGCAGGAGAAAACAGATCCAGACTCCAGATCCAGTTTCTTTAGCATTAGCATTAGCATCTGTAACCCACAGGTCTGTGTCCTAACCATTAAGTTGTTAACAGAGTAAATCCCTGTTCAACATGAGTCTGACAACTAAGTAAGTAGATAAATAACTTTAGACTTTAACTCATGCTCTGATAGGCCGGGATAAGGACGTCCCTTATTAATAGGATTATAATTAAACCTGCAGCCTGACTTAAATTGTCCCTCACAGCTTTGGGGGTGCGTGCGAGCTACCTCAAAGCGGTTCTGCCTGGTGGGGATGTCCACGGCGGTCAGGTCGATCATGTTCCTGAACTGGGCGTTGGTGTGGTCCCTCATGAAGGTCAGCACGGGGATGACCCCGTCCGGGTGGATCATCACCTCCAGCTCGTTGTAACACGTCACCTACAAAAAGATTTATTTAAAAACTCCCCCTTTAAACCGGAGCCCAGAGGCTGGCCTCCCCCGGGCTCTGGGGCCTGGACTCACCTGGACCTGCTGGACGTATTTGGGCATCATCTCAGCCACGTACTCTCCAAACGCTGCCAGCTGGTTGTGAGCCACGCCATCTTTGGGCCTGACGGTGGCTGAGCAGAGGACAGGGGACCGTTAAGCCCCGCCCACACGTCACACGCCCGCCAAACAGCCAGTTACAGCATGAGGAATCCAACCTAACGTCTCCTCTTCTGGTTTAAAGAACATCTGATTTCCTCTGTAAATGCCCTTTCATTTTCAATGGAGTATTTGGTCTTTTTTTCCGGAGTATCCATGTTTTTTTTAATATACAGAGACACCTTAGCATAGAATTTGCCTCAATAATACATTAAATATTAAGTTAGATATCAAAGACTGTCATATGACCCAAAAGCTCCAGCTTTCGTTGGTTTTACTTTAGGGTGGAACTTTCTACAGACCAAAACTAATGACATGCAGCTGTGTGCAGCACTCCTACTTTAAATACATAATAAATGTAAAGAAAAATACACTTTTTGCTCTTGAATTCACCCAGACGTGTTGATCAGATTAAATATGTCTCTTAACTGTTAATATTTTATCAGAAAGGAGAAAAAAAAAGAAAAAACCTAAACAATTAGTATGATGGGATTTCTAAAGAAGTTTAAAGCTCTGACAGACGTACAAACCAGTTCTGGTTATCTGAGTAAATAATAGTGATGCTTCACTTGCTGGAACAATGTGACATCTTAATTTTTACCATATATGACAAATAAATGCAATCAATCCAACTAAAACCTGATTTATTAGATATTTTCTTCATTTAACAAATCAGGACTTTGTCCTTTATTTACACAAATGAAGAAACTAATTCTCCAAAATATTGTGATGAAATCCTAAATGTGTTCTACTGAAATGTTGACCAAATTGTATTTCCATTTGGTCTCAGTGGGTAAAAACACTGAATTGTAAGCAGGTCTATATTCAAATAGCTCTAATCCTGACCTGTTATTTCTCTGTGTTTCAAACGGTTTAGTTTTAAAGTCCCCTTGAATAAATAAGAACCAAGTTCTTGAGATGGGACTCACTTAAAACTGGGCACACATTTTTAAATCTGACCAACAATAACTTCTGGACTCAATGCTCAAAAACAGGTAAACTAAGGGCCGGCAGCCTCGGTTTAGGGTGAACTCACGGCGGGACTCGGTGCTGGAGCTCTGGGCTCTGATCTGCTGCTGCAGGAGACACGAACTCCTGGAGACTGAGAGGGGACAAACAGAAATGAGGAGGAAACCTGGCTGTCAACACACCCCTGGCGTTTAAACCCAGAGCCCCCCAGAGGAGCTGGGGAACTTTGAGCCACACCAAACGATAATAGAGTCAAACGTAACACAATTATACCCCAAAACACAGCCGTTACTCCCCACTACTGTCACAATAACAACACGCCGCCATCCTGGGCTCAGTCATGTAACGGCTGCCTTTAGCTAGCTCGAAGGTCAAACCGGAAACACTTTGACTGTTAAAATAATTTCACGTTTCTCATTAATTGTGTGGTTGGACGCAGAATAAAATAAACTACAGCCACTGACAGTCGGTTTCACCAACAATGGCTTCAAGACAGCTTACTGTTCAAGCTCCTTCCGAGTCCTCCGCGGACGAGCCTCACCAACGACGCCGCCATGTTTGCTCGAATGGAGAAGAAGAAGAAGAAAATTTGTCTTCGGTTGGAGCAGCGAGCTATCGCCCCCTAGCGACCACTAAAGGAAACACACCCCAAAAGGACGGCAAATGAATCCGGTTGAGGCGCCGTTTAACATTTAGAAATAAATATTCAAAATATATCTAAGATGACAAAAAATTGAGATTGTGCAAAAAGGGGAGTCTGAAAAATTTACACCGTTTTAAAACACTGTTTTAAGCTAAATGTGACAAAAAGTTGATGACATTTTCAGCACAGTCAGTTTTACAAACAGCGCCTCATGTCCAGTCCTATTTTAAACAAATAGGAATAAAACTAGCATCAAGAGAAGAAGTACATGTATTAATCACAGGCTAAACTGCAATGCTCTCATTATAAATAATTATTGGTTTTCTTACCATTTAGTTAGATTTTTTCCTTCTCTCCATTACAGTGCTGTTTCAGTACAGGAAAGAGCTGTGTTTGAAAAGTTCACGGGAAATTAAGCTCTTTTTTAAAAGAATACTTGATCAATAATTCATATCGTTATAGACATAATTTCTTGTAAGATTTTTTCTTATTGTTGTAAAACTGGAGGCGGCTTCATAAATCTCAGATCGGCCTCTTAAACCCAAGTGTTTCAGTGATTGTATACAAAGAAATGTAGCATCCCACAGTCTCTGCATGTTGCAAAGTAAGTCACAAATACAAATGTAAAACAAAGAAGATACAAGCATTAATTCTGTATATATGTCTCAAACATTTATTTAACTTCATTGTCATAAGGCCACTGTGGAAATATTTAAAATTGCAATAAAACTTCAATAATAAACACAATAACATCTTTGTTCAATGTTAATTGAAATATCCTTCACCCAAAAGCATGCAGGTTGTTTTAGTTTCACAGATATTAGCTGACAAAATAACAACGTGGTTGTTCATGAAGTATTCAAGGGTTTGTTTAGCAGAAAAATGACACTTTAATACAAACTTCTACATCTTAAAACCCCTATTTTGCCCACTGATTTGTCATAAATAGATTAAAAAAACCTGCTGATTCAACTAAAACACTGTGAAAGCAGCCATGTTTGATGGATGTGAGTCCGTTCCTCCAGCCCGCTGGGCTCTCAGCCCGTCTGACCGCACACCTGCTGGTAGTATTTCCGGAGCATGTCCAGCTGAGCGGCGCGGACCAGGACGTGCGGCCGAACGGAGGCCAGCTTCTGACAGGCCTGCTCTGGAGTCCAGCAGTGCAACTGAAAACAAGCCCGCACAAAGTCAAAACCCACAGACCGAGGCAGCCAAATGTACAGTACAACCTCAATAACAGAGTCTAACTGGTTCCAGGAGCGACTTCTGTGTTAAATATTGGTATGTTGGTTCAAATCTTCCATCAGAATACACTGTAATTCCTAAAATTAGTTCCAAAAACCTACGATAACTCATTAATAAATACTGCAGATAATTACACATAGCAAGAAAACAAATGACTTCTAGAAGAGAGATGGAAAAAGAAATAAATGATAAAGAAATAATCACTAAAAAGGGTTTTTATTGTCCCTTTAGCTCAGAGACTGAAGAACGGAGGTAGAGGTGGAGACTGAGATACACGACCAACACTAACTCACTTTGACTTTACTACAGGAACTTTAAACCAACTTAGCTTGGTTATTTTTATCTTATTTTTATATTTTATATATATTTTTCTATGACTGTCGTATGTTGCAAATTTCTTTCGGGTGTAGAGTTGAAAATTTGATCAAATTTCACTTCAGATGTTGGAAAATTTGTATCTTTAGACATCGTAAGCAGAGGTTCTGCTGTATTTCATCTCAGTTTCGGGAAAATATGCTAAATCGAACTGTGTTGTTTGGTAAGAAACTAAACTGATTTCCTAATTTCTCTGAGAGGCCCATAGCATCGGCCTAGGGATGTTACTTTTGAAGCTAAGTGCATTTGAGCCCCAAGTTATTTTGTCATTTTAATTCATTATACAGGACTGAGATAAATGACAAACCCTAACTTACTCTGACTTTACTACCTGAACTTTAAACTAACTTAGCTTAGTTAGTTTTATTTAATTTGTATTAGGGATGTCCCGATCAGATCCCGATCCCGGCCTATCAGAGCCTGTACTAAAGTTTAAAGTTATTTATCTACTTACTTAGTTGTCAGACTCATGTTGAACAGGGATTTACTCTGATAACAACTTAATGGTTAGGACACAGACCTGTGGGTTACAGATGCTAATGCTAATGCTCGTGTAGGATCGGACTTTAAATAAAAAACTGGATCTGGAGGCTGGATCTGCAAATATGGGACCAGCCTACTACAGCCCAGTAAAACCTCACACTTTACAGGACAAGAACCTGCCCTGGCACTGACCCGTATGAGGTAGGCGGCGGCCAGCGTGGCGCTGCGGGAGCGCCCGGCCTTGCAGTGCACGTAGACGCTGGCGCCCTGCTGCCGGTGCTGCAGGGCGAACTCCACGCCGCGGTGCAGGTTCTCCAGGCTGGGGACGCCCGTCAGGTCCACCGTGCTCAGCCTCAGCTGCTCCACGCCGGCGGCACGCCACTCCTGGAGCCGGACAGCACACATCTCTGACCACTCTGACACAGCTAAACGGAAAACTAGTTCCTAGAGTTCCCAACATGCCGCCCAGCTCCTGGGCCAGTCTCTGGACAGTAAAACCGTTACAGATGATCCAGAACTTGGAGTCTGGTCTTCAATCAGCCCAAAAAACCCTCTGTTCACTGAGCTTCACTGGTTACCCCAAGTCCCTGATGCCTACAAAGTGCTTAAAGAGCCAGCTCCCATCTAATTGAACCCTCTTGCAAAGGCTTTGCTTTGGATAAAAGCGTCTAAATGGACCCTCTACTCCTCTTTCTGGGCTTCCCTCTATCTCCTCCTGTCTCCACTGAGTCTGACTGGGGGTTTTCCTCCAGAGAGCTGATTGTCATGTTGAAAACTGTAAAATTGTGTCTACTTTGTAAGTGGCTTTGGATAAAAGCGTCTGAATGCAGAAACAGAAACGTCACCCAGAGCTTCCTCCACAGGTCTCATCCACCGGCCACGTTTCAAACCCAGCAGGTCTTTAAAGGCTGCAGTAAAACTGAAGTAAAGCTTTTATCTGCATCCTCAGCTCAGCCACAAACACACACAGAGACTCACCTCAGCCGAGTTGCAGAAGTATTTGGTCTCGTATTTTTCGTTCATGGTGATAACTCCTCGAACGTTTTCCGTTTCCACCAGCTGCCACAAAGAGAAGAGCCGTTATCAGCCTGTGAGCCCCTCCAAAAACAGCAGCCTGCCATGTTTAGGCCTCAGATTAGTGGCCTTCTTTAGGGCACAGCTGATTCGAGTTCCAATGGAAACCAAGCACTCTTACATCTTACACTTAGACTCAACTTTATTTGTCCCTTTACTTACTCCTTCAGGAAAACTCTGGTTCCATTAAAATATAAATAAGTTGAAATCTCAATGCAGAACTGGTCAAAGGAGACCCTAAAAACTGGTAAAAACCAGGGAGGGCAGCTTTAGACACAATGGGGGTCATGCATGTCCCGGTTTACAGCTATTTTTTTAACCAAAACTGTCATTTTAACTGAAGACCTTTACATCAAGAACTTTAGCTTTCTATTTTTCAATATTAAATCTAAAGCTTAATCAGGCATTTTAGGGGGAAACGGGAATACGTTTACTTCCTTCCTTCTACCAAATTAAAATGTAACTTTCTCCTCAAAGTCAACCATTATCCACACAGTTTATGGGCTTCCTGCACACTTCCAGCCCACATCCCGGTTCCCCGGTTCCCCGGGGGCAGCCTGACCTGCTTGGTCATGGACCTGAACGGCAGCGCTCCCAGGAGGACCGTCTCGTCCACCCGGTCGAACCACCGGCGGGAGGACACCTTCTCCATGACAACATTGTAAGCTAGCGTCGGGTAGAAGAGCAGCCTGGCTAACGCTCCCGACATGGCGGGACACTTTGGCTCAAACAGCGGAAACAAATTGAGATAAATAAACTCCAAAACTCGGTCAGTGTCTCATTGCAGCTCCTTCTCGGGTTCAGGCCGCCTGGACCTCTAACCCTGAGCCCTCTGACTCGTTTTGCGCTGCACGCTGGATTTCAGGTTTCCACTTCCGGCGGTTGGTTAACGGAGGCGGAACTACTTCCGGTGGGGACCCGTCAAAATAGGGCCAGCGGATTCCAGAAATGTGATTAATCGAAATAACAGAAATACGCTTTAAAATTAGAAAACAACGCAGACATTTTACATACTATTTCTAGATATTTGTTTAACACTTAAAGCTTCTGTTATCTTCCTATCAACATGCCTAAAGCGTTATTTTAAAAAGAATTTGACACTTCATATAGTAAATGACGATTACTATTTCAAACACTTAATTAATGATCTGTAATATCTCTTTAAATCCATCGCAAAATAAAAAAGAAAAAGAAAAAAATCCACTGCACGGGGATTTATATATCATTTTGTCCCAAATTCAGTTTATTGTGTAATCAGAAATCAGACAAGGAGACCTGGCTCCAGAAGGCTTCACGGGCTGTTTTTCCACCCCTTCAGAAGACACTTTAATTCATGACAAACTGCTACTGGAAAACACATATGTTGGCTAATTGAGGCTTAGCAACGTGTCCCCATGATCATTTCACATTTATGTCATCAGCCTGGTGAGATGGTGCGGGTTGGCCCCTCTTTCCAGTCTTCTGAAGCTTCAGACTGGAGAAAACTCCCCTTTGTTTTTTCTTTCTAGAACCAAACTCAGGATGGAAGATGAGATAAAAGAGATCAGCTCTCAATCTGTTAGTTTCCCTTAAATTGGAAACCATTTTTTAAATTAGCTCTGAACAAATTGTAACAATTTGGAACATAATGAACTGGAATTGAATGGAATATTTCTGTCTTTAATGGAATATTTTGTCTGGATTCTTGCTGCCTTGTACTGGACTACTACACCTTTAAAGTACCTAGAAGAGATATTTTTGACCTGATACTATAATTGAATAACTGAATT